TGTATAGGCCATTTCAGAATATTGAATTATAGAATAACTAAACATAAGAAGGTGAAATCTAAATTCTAATAATTGAGCCATAGTGAATTGGAGTACCACGTAATTAATTGCCCAAGTAGTACTGAAAATTTAGACAGCTGCATTATTGTATGACCTTGAACAAGGAGAAGTTATTGGCTGATAGTGAATTTGTCCATTGTAACTAGTACCACCTGAGTTTTGACATCAAAAGGTGTTATCTAAAGGTTTATTCCATTTTCTTCCCTCATAGTACTTAGACATCTTTTATTTATTCAGTTTAAAAATTCTATAGAAATAATTTCATGAAGAACTTATTATGTTCAAAGCACTTTTTGTCACTAGAAGTACGGGGACAAAAATTAAATAAGCCATGCCCTTAAGGGGTTTACATTTACAGTATAATGGAATTCACAATTGGAGTCAAAAACTCTGGGTTCAAATTACAGCTCTATTACTCACATCAGTATGAAAATTTACTGGTTTGGATTTGAGCAAATCAGTTATCCTCTTCTTTTGTGCTTCAGCTGTAAAACGGAGATTTTTTTTAAACCACATGACCCCTGAGGCCCTTTCCAGTTTTAAATTTATGATTCTTTATTCTGCTGGGATTGGGTAAGGGGAGAAAGCGAATGAAATATGGACACGTATAAATACAGTGCAAGCAATTTTGAAAGGAGAGATCACTAGAAATTGAAGGAATTAAGGAAGACTTAATAGAAGAGTTGGTTACCTTAGCCTCAATGGAATATAAGGATCGTAAAAGGTTGGTGATGAAGAAGAGGGAATTCATTCTAAGCATGGTGATTAGCCTGTACAAATAATGGAGATAGGGCATGGAATGCTGAGTTCAGGTAATAGCTAGTGGTCTTTTCAGATGAAATACAGAATTTATGAAGGAGAATGATATAAAACAATATTGGAAAATAAGTTGAATCCAGATTGTGCTGGGACATAAATGCCTGCCTAAGGGATTTGTACCTAAACCTAGAGGCAATAAAGAGCAACCAAAAGTTTTTAAACAGAGTAATGGTGTGGTTAGACCTATGCCTTAAGAAGATTATTTCTGGGGCAGCTAGGTGGTACAGTGGATAGAGCACCAGCCTTGGAGTCAGGAGGACCCAAGTTCAAATCCAGCCTCATTCACTTGACACTTACTAGCTGTGTGACCCTGGCCAAGTCACTTAACCCCATTGCCTAGCCAAAAACAAATGATAATAATAAAGAAGATGATTTCTGGAAACTATACAGAGAATGAACTAGAGAAAGGAGGAAATGGTGGCAGAGAAAGCAATTAGCAGGCTAATGAAACTGTCAAGTCAGGAGGTAATAAGGACCTCTGTTGAAGTGGTGGCAGTGTAAGTACAGAAAAAGAGTCAATTGCGAGAAGTAGAATTGTCAAGACTTAGAAACTGATAGGATGTAGGAGACTGAGAAGAGAAAAGATTCAAAGGTGACTTGGATATTATGAATCTTGTATGAATGAGAAGATAGTGGCCCCCTCAGCAGGGAGGTTTAGATGAGGGGCATCTGGGGTTTTTTGGAATTGGATAAAATTGGGTATTTTAAAAGTCTTGCCATAACCTGAATCTAGTTGTCTGTGAACTATTAGGGTATCATTAGGGTTATTTTGGAACTCTAGGATGGAACTAGACAGAAGAAGAGATTCATGGCTTTGGAAGTTTCTTGGATATATCCCTTATTGTAGGAGCAGAATAGAAACAGGAATCCTCTCTACTTCCTCCAGCTCCACAGTAAACATAAGTAGCCATAGTTGCAGGTATCCACTACAGTCCCTTCCCTTTAGAATAGACTCTGGTTTGAAGTTAATGTACATAGTATCCTAGCAATACAATCTATTTTTTTTTTGGATGAGTTATATTTCTCTCAGGCATTTATTGTCTTCTGATTTGTGAAAATTAAAATTAAATAAAATACATTATCTTTAAAAGACCATTTTTTTTGGTCTGGAACTCATCAGTCAAACAATATTAAACTTATTCTCTTAACTGATTTGTGCCTATGTAATTTCCTTGTTATCATCTATAATGTCCAACATTTCCAACAGAGACCTAATAATTCCTATAGGGATCTCTACACTGTGAAAAGTGTTAGTAGTGCAAAAAAAAATAACTTATGGAAACAACTAGCTATTTGTGTTCTGGTTCTTTTTTTTTTTTACCATTTATTTATGCCTGTAATTTAAACATTGTATGAATCTAGATACTTAAATTTTGACAGTTGAAATTTAGCAGTTCAGTGAAATGTTTTATCATTTCCTGGATGTTAAAATTTAAAAGATAAAGCATAATGAGAATAGGACATAATTTGGAGGATTGTTGTCCCTTTTAACTACTTGGAGTAATAAAGGATGAAACCACTGTACTGATAGCCACTTGAATAAACTTTCCAATTGGACAAATGGTACCTATGGAGATATATGGATATACAGTTTCATAGGCACATAGACTCCTAGAGCTGAAAAGATACTTAAAAATCATCTAAAATTCTAGTTCAAAGCCTTGGTCTTATAAATGCCTCAAAAATTCTTTAAGAACTAAATATTGATCCTCATATGCTCCCTGTGGAGATACTTAAGTGAATGAAGTAATCATTCCCTTCTACATATCTTTATTGTTATTTACAACTCGATATAAAAGTAGATGAGCAAAAATAAGTTTATAGGTATATCTGCATTTAGGAGCAGAGAATCAACAAAGCATCCTTCCTCTTTATTTATTTTTTTCTTTTTTTGGCTAGGCAATGGGGTTAAGTGACCAATCCAGGGTCACACAGTAAAAGTCAAGTATCTGAGGCCGGATTTGAACTCAGGTCCTCCTGACTCACTGCACCACCTAGCTGCACCCACCCCCCTTCGTTTTTTATCTAAATTATCCCAAGGCAAATGGTGATTCACTGCTTGCTTCTTGGGAAAACTAGACTGTTGGAATCACTTCATTTGCACCCTACTCTCTCTCCTAGGAATGCCAGGGGAAGAACAGGATAGAAATTAGAAGTTTACATCTTCTACCCTAGACATGGACACAGTGTTCACTATTACTCAGAATAAAACCATGCTGCTGAAATGTTACAAAAATTTCTGTGTTAATGACAATAGTGGCAGCAGCTCCTGATGCTGCTATTGTTACTATTTCTACTACTTACATGGTCAATGAGCTTTTAAGTTTTGCAAAGTGTTTTATGTATTTCACTTCATTTGATCCTCCTAAGAATCCAGTGAAGTAGGTACTAAATGTGTGTTATCCCAAACAATTTGTCCATGGTTGCAGAGGCAGTAAATTTGGGATGTAGAAGATTTAGGTCAAATATTTCCTGAATCCAAATTCATTATTTTGTGCAGCATACTTATGTTGCTGCCTTTTGCTCTGTGGTGTTTATGTGTGAAGTAGAAGATGGTGCTTGGAGTCAAATCTTCACCTTGGAGGAATCTTGAGATCACCTAGTTTATCTCAGTTTGAAAACTGGAAACATCAATTAGGCTAGCAGAGGGAATGTACTTGTGACTTATTTGTTTGTTTCTTTATTTATATATTTGGGAAGAGAGAGTTCCTTGATAAGATACCATTGCAGATTGGTACCCTTAATACAACTTCTGATAATAGAGTATCAGACTTGGAGTCGAGGTTGTTGTTCAGTCACTTTTCAGTCATGTCCAACTCTTCATGACCCCATCAGGGGATTTCTTGGCACAGATACTAAAGTGGTTTGCCATTTCCTTCTCCAACTCATTTTACAGATGAGGAAACTGAGGCAAACATGGTTAAGTGACCTGCCCAAGGTCACACAGCTAGTATGTATCTCAGGCCAGATTTGAGCTCAGGAAGATGAGTCTTCCTGACTCCAGGTCTGGCACTCTATCCACCGTGCCGCCTAGCTTCCCTGGAGTCAAGAGGACCCTGAGTTCAAATTCTGCTTCAGATACTAGCTATATGACCATGGGAAGTCACACAACTTCTATCTGCCTTAGTTTTCTCATTTGTAAAATGGGAATCAGCACCTGTCTCTTAGGATTGTTTTTGTTTTGTGAGGCAATTGGGGTTAAATGACTTGCCCAGAGTCACACAGCTAATGAGTGTTATGTGTCTGAGGCCAGATTTGAACTCAAGGTCCTCCTGACTCCAGGGCTAGTACTCTATCCACTGTTCCACCTAGCTGCCCCTGTCTCTTAGGATTGTTAAAAGGATCAGATCAAACAGCATAGGTAAGGAGCTACATATATGCTAGCTATTCCTATTATTACAAATGATAGTCTTAAAGAGTTGTCAGGGACACCAAGAGGTCAAGTAACTTGTCCATGTTCACAGAGCCAGTGTATGTCAGAGGTAGGACTTGAATCCACAACAACTACAACAACAACCATGATATTTTCTTGCTATCAGACTGAATGTGATTAATATGTGTCATCTAGTCAAGTTATTGTCATTGTGGTATTTTGATGCTTCCCATCCAGACTCTCAATAAATGGAACATGTTTGATCACTCACTGTCAATAATTTTGCATCTAAAGAAAGGTTATGCGAAGTATTTTATTAGCGCAGTTTTCTTCCTATCTGTATTTCTGTGTGCACATATTTGGACTTCCCTGGTTTAAAATCAGACTTTTCATAGAGTAAATTAGTTATTTGTTATATGGTTAGGCAACCTTGGATTACTGACTTCTTATGCTTCCTAGTCAAAGGTGTACTCCCTTTACATATTTTCACACATATAATGGCCTAAATCGCATTCTCTGTGCCCTGAAAAATTTTACCAATAATTTTCACTCCATTGACCAAACTACTCTTTCAAAAGCATATGGTCTTTATTTTTGACCTAGGTACAAAAGAATAACCCCCAAAAGCAGTACTCATAGATTAGCATTGTACTATACAACCCTCAATATGATCAAAGTCTTTCCTTCTAGCTTATTCAACAAATTAAATATTTTAAAATAACATGTTTTCATTATTTCTCTGTAACAGGCAATTTGGCTAATCTAACCTGCCGAGCATTCTTTGGATACAGTGGAGATGTCAGTCCTTTAATTTACTGGATGAAAGGAGAGAAGTTTATTGAAGATCTTGATGAAAATCGGGTCTGGGAAAGTGACATTAGGTAAAACATACGTTGTTATCGGTGTTTTATTTTTCTTTTGCTATATTCAGTGAACTTGCTTAGATGGAGAACGCAGTCCTGAATAAAAAGAATTTTTTTTTATTACTACTCTGACAATAAAAATTCTTTAACACTGAATGACAGAGAGGAACAGTTGTTAAGAGACTGATGAAATGTAAAACAAGCATGCCAACTGAGAAATTACAGGAAATAAATATATCAAGAATAGTTTTCACTAAGGAATACAGTATTGTTCAAGAAATCAAAGTACAATAACAATATGGAAATCGTGACAGCATGGTTTTCCCAAATGTTCTCAATAATAAGAAAAAGGAAGAAAAAGAGACATTATCAAGGTACTAGAGACAGAAGATTGTAACATTCCTATCTTTCTGCATATATTTCTTACACATTCTAATTACCTAGTAAACTGAAAAGCACTTGAGGAAAGTACAAAATACTGTAATGCAAAATGTATTCCTTGTATGAAAGTCTTCCTTATTCTGACTTTGATGTACAAATATTTATGCGGTAGAGATGATAAAGAGGAATAAACTTACAAAAATAATCAAGGTTGAGGAGAGAAACCGAAATCCCCTGCATCTCCTTCTTCTGGCTTCAAGGTCTGTCTGCATTACTCACTAAAATTATGCTTCATTACAGCTACTGAATCTTAAACGCAATTTAAATGTACAAGGTTATGCTAGCCACAGTGAATGCCTTATGACAGAATCAAATCGATGTATAAAGTTCTGAACTTTATCTTCATCTGAAGATCACATTATCTAGGGTAAGAGAAAGCAATTTTAGTATTTTCTGTTTGTCATCTTCAACATGAAGACTGATAAAGGTAACAGAAAAAATATATTCTTCAGAAGAAGATAGACTCATGCAATCTTGTGAGTTTATTCTAATCAGGTTCCTCTTCTCTGGGCAGTGGCAAGATGGAAGCAGGTGTATCTCACCCTAGTGTACTCTAATTTTATCATCCACAGCCCAGAACAAGTGTACTACGAAATGTGCAATGCAGTTGAGCAATAATTCTTATTTAAAGCTTTGCTATTGTCTTTCACCCAGAGACTGTAAAGTACAAAAGTTTAAAAGGAGCCACAAGTCTCTTTACAATGGTTTTTGTTTGGTTGTTTTGGTTTGTTGTTGTTGTTGTTGTTGTGTTTTTTTTGCTTGTTCAGGAAAGACTCTAAGGAGGTTTTCCATTTTCTCTCCTGAATTGGAAAATATGTGCATGTGTGTGAGTGGGTAGGAAATTCAGGAGGAGAGGTAGAGGCACAGCTGGAGGGTGCTAAGAGAAGGTGCCAGCAGTTTAAGGAAATACCACCTAATTTGCTGCATAGAATGCTAAACTCCTTGGCAGTTAGTTGAGGGAACTTTTTACCATTCATTTCAAATGTCAGAATTAACCATTTTATCCAAACATTAAGCCTTGAGGTTAATAATTTCACATTTCTTTAAAAATAGGCAATTATATTTTATCATTGAAAAATGCCAGACTAGGGGCTTCAACTGAAATGTCACAATATCACAGAAATATGTTTCTTGACATAAGCTGAGAAATAAACTTACAGCCTAGGACATCATAATTTTTCACCTTCTTAGACCAACACCATAATCTACCTCATATGGAAAACAATTTGTAAACTTTTCTTCAAGGTGTCCTTCACCTCTCTGGTGTTTTCACCATGTGAGTCCTCCTTCTCAGGAAGATAATTAGCTGCAATTGTCATTTGCATCCACCTAGACAAGAATTCTCATTAGAAGTGAGGAACACAGAGGCATGATGTAATTTAATTAAGATCACATCAAACTATAGCCAAATTTGAAGATCAAATGTTGTAGATTGTGAGTAGTGTATTCGTATCAGAAAATCAGAATCATGTAATAATCTGATGGTATATACATTTGTGTATGTGTGTGTTATTCAGGATTCTTAAGGAACATCTTGGGGAGCAAGAAGTTTCCATCTCATTAATTGTTGACTCTGTAGAGGAAGGAGATTTGGGAAATTACTCTTGTTATGTTGAAAATGGAAATGGACGCAGGCACGCCAGTGTTCTCCTTCATAAACGAGGTAAAGATGACTGTTTCTTTATGGGCATTATACATGTGGAAAGGACTTTATTCTGACCTTGACTCTCTTGGGAAAAAAATGAGATAAAAAATGAGATAAAAAAGAGTGATTGATGTTTTTTCAGCAAAGCTATAATTAAAGTAATATATTAGTCTTGCTACAAGGACTGACAGCTTTTTAAAATATACAAACAAAACATTACAATAATTTTAGTTTTAAAATGAATTTAGTGTTAGCTTTTTTTGGTCACCATCATTTCCCCTCATCACAACCCCACCAGCTGCAAACTATTTCTTGTAATAAAGAAAAAAATACTTAAGCAAAGCCACTAAACACATCTGTCTGATTGTGTCTATTGCATTCCAGATTTGCAGTCTGTATCTCCTTACTGAAAGGAGGGAGGTTTGTTTCCCCATCAGTTCCTCATGGCTGCAACTGTTCATTACAATTCCATCAGAATTTAACTGTTTTTAGTGTTGTTATAAACAGCATTACTTTAGCAATTCCACATATTGTCCTCCTGGTTATATTTACTTCCTTCTGAATCAGTTCATATAAGTCTTTCAATGTTTTTTTTTTCTGTACACCTTACATTTATCATTTCTTATGGTAATAATAATACTCCATGACATTCATATACTACAGGATGTTCGGTCATTTCCCATTTTCTTTTTTTCCCTCTAAGCACAATTGCTGTTGCTGAGATTAATTAATCTCTTATAATTTCAAAGTCATTTTATGTCTTCCTAGAGCAAGTTCTTTGAAAGTACACATTATCCCACGCATTGCCTATAGTATGTTACATCAATAATAACAATAATAAATAATAGTAGCTAAAATTATATATCAATGTAACATTTGCAAAACCTTATAAATATTAGGTCATTTTATCCTCATAAAAGGCCTGCATGGTAGGTGTTTTTGTTTGTTTGTTTTGTTTTGTTAATCTCCATTTTATAGCCATGGAAATGGAGACAAAGAGAAGTTATCGGATTTGTCCAGTGTCACATAACTAGTAAGTGTTTGAGACTGGATTTGAACTCAGGTCATTCTAACTTCAGGTCCAATGATCTATCCATTGAACCACTAAGGTTTTTAATTGTTTTTAAAGAAGTAATCATTGAATAATTCAGAATAATAGGAAATGTCAGATGCTAGCCGTTATTGTTAGTTGGTAGTGAAACATTTTAAGAAATTTAAAAAAAAACATAATGACATGTTTTCAAACTCTATGAAGTGCCTGATAGGTAGCTTTCTGGTATTAAAAATAAAAAGTATACCATAATATTTTCTTGCTCAACAAATGTATTTAATAGTTTCAAAACTCCTATTTGATTCAAATTTCTTTGTAATTAGAAAAATTAAAATAAACATTTTATGACTTTATTGACGTTGGAGAAATCATGGATACCTTTTAAGTACTGTCCCTGGAAGAATTTTGGAACAAATCTCTGTTGTCCTCAAGGACTCAGGGGTGGGAACATGTGGCCTTAAGGCTACATGTGACCCCTAGTCCTAAAGGACCACACTTGAGGACCTAGGGGGTCATATATGGCTTCGACGCCACAGGTTCCCCACCTCTGTAGAGTATTTTGAAACATTAACAGGCTACAGGGTAAAATAGATGCTTAGAGTAGAAGCAAGACACATTGGGATTGAGATCTACCTTTTGCAGTTGTGACTTTGGATAAATAAACCTTTTCTTGGCTTCAGTTTCCTAACCGATAAAATGGTAGAATTTACACAGAGAACCTTTTATGATGTAATAGATATTATATAATGTTTTGTTTAATGCTAGGCATTTTGAGTAGGAAAGAGGCTTACAGATTGATTGGTGCTTTCACTAACTACACAATAAATTCACCTGCCCCTCCCTTTCACACACACACACACACACACACACACACACACACACACACACACACACACACACACACACCACATATACACACCCATTCCTTTTATTTCATTGTTTCAGGAAATCTTAGTGAAGAAACTTCCTGTATCAAGTAAATTCCTATACCAAGACAGACTGATAACTGTCCTGAAATTTATGATCTTAGAGATTTGAAAGGAACACTGAAAGGTTAAGCGATCCACTCATGATCACATAGCAGAGGTGGGAAACCTGAGGCCTTGGGGCCACATGTAGTCTTCTAGATCCTTAAGTGCTGAATCCAAATTTTACAGAACAATTTTATTCTGTAACAGAGGTAAAATGCTATACTTATTAATTAGTGGGTCATTCTTTTCTAGAAGGAAATAAAAGATAAAGACAAAACTTAAATAAATCTCTGTTGGCCTGGCTAATGTGTATTTATACTAGAGATACAGAGATAGGCAGGCAGGTTCAGATCCTCATAAAGAAGGTTCCTATGGCAGCTGCATTACTTATATACTTCCTTGGTGTGTAGCCATTGAAGGAAGTGTCTCACAGCTATACAGATTGGTGATTTTGCCAGGGGCTACCACAGTAACATACTGTACCACAGTATGTTACTACCACAGTAACATTATACATAATGCTTCTTTAATGACACTGGGAATTTCTGTGGTTGATGGCTTCAAGTCACAAAGGTGACCTGTCTTAAAGGTTAAGTGTAATTATGCCTTAAGGTAGACTATTGGAATAACTGATCTTGCAATGCCCCTTCTGGGCTTCTGAGTCTTTAATCATAGCAAAAGAAGCAAGTGTTGCTAGCATAAAATCAATTTAAAAACCATTGCACAAAACTCTATAACAGATCTTTATTTTTAAAGGCCATTCAGGAAATGATTGATTAATGCATTTAAGAGTATATCTATTGGATTCATATTATAAACTCAATACTATAGGATATCAACCCTGTATCAGATACTATACAAATGATACCACCAGAAAGAACCCACACAAAATTGCTCACAATTAAGAAGTGTTCATAAATAAACTAAAGAACATAGGGCCACAGGGTACGTTTTCCTCGCCCTTCACCAGTACATGAAAGCAATGAACAAGCCCATTTGGGGGGGGGGGAACTGGATAGCTGACTAAGAACATGGTATCTGAGAATGGGATTTGGATTCATGAACCATGGTTTACAATAATAAAGATATTACAAATTCCTGACCAGAGACAGAGTATACCTAAAAAAAAAAGTTTGATTACCAGGTGTCTTGCAAATCTAATCTAAATACCTTTAAACTAAAAAGGATGAGGAAGAAATAAGGCTGCTTATGTGTATCTCCCAAGAAAGATGGTATAAAATTGTCCACAAAGAATGAAGAAAATAGGAGATGTAATACCCAGAAATTCATAGGAGAAAATAATTCAAGAAAAGAGTCAGTAGTAAACATTACGGATTCAAAGGTCCCTATACAAATGTCTAAACAAACATGAAAAGAATTAGTAACTTTAATTGTGAGGAGACAGATTTGGCCTCATAGATATCTCTGAGACTTGGTGGAATGCAAGTCATGACTAGACCATAGTTCTACATGGGTATACTTTATCCAAAAAATGGAGTAGATAAAAAGGAGTGAGGTAGGCATTGTATATTAATGTCCACTCACATAGGAAAATCCAAGAACTTTGTATTTGGGTGAAGATCAGAAAAGGGGGAAAAAGTGATTTCGTCATTAGTATTTACTATAGTCTTACTGAACAGAAGAAAATAAAAAGAGTTGCTGTTTGAACAAATAGCAAGCCTGGCAGAGAGCCATAGTATAGTAATGATAAAGAACATCTCTTACCCAGACAGCTGCAGGAGACCCCATGTCCACCATGTTTACTATCTGGCCCTTCCTATCCTCATGCACCATTTCTCTGTTGAGAGAGATGTTTTATCATCTGTCTTTTCTTCTCTTCAGAAACTCTTAGCAACTCCAAATCAAGCTCTGATTTGTAATATTTGCCAGTTTCCAAGGTCTAAATGCTCACAATGAAAATTTAGCAATTGGCTCTCACTAGCTAGTTGAAGCTGATTCCAGCTTACCTCTGAAATACATTCTACTTCAAAGGTTCTCAAAGTGTGGTAGTGAGACCCTTTCAAAGAATCCTTTATATCAAAACTGTTTTCCTAATAATGCTAAGACTAATAAATAATTTTATTTTCTAATATAGTATGTGGTGATAAATATAACCAACATCTTTGGGTAGGGTGGGAGAAATTAATAACTTTTGAGTATTGAAGGGTCTTGAGATTAAAAAAAAAGTTTGTGAACCACTGACTTTTATAACAAAATTTGTTAGCTATATGCTTTTCCCCTTCATTCTGTATTCAAGTCATACTATCCAACTTACTTATCTGCAGGTTAAAAATGTTTTGTACTCAGCCTCTGCCTTCATAAGGCATGCCTGCACATACCTGAAGTGAAATACAGGATTTTCATAGTATTGAACTTCTTTATTGTTTCTGTGGTACTCATAGATGTTATCCCAATTCTTTGCCAGTATTTCTAATACCAGCATATGCTGTTTTATAGAGCTTTGCTTTATTGCATTTCACAGATATTATATTTTTACAAATTGAAGGTTTGTGGCAATCCTGGGTTGGACAAGGCAATTGGCACCATTTCCCAACCACAAGTGTTCACATCATGTCGCTGTGTCACATTTTGGTAATTCTGGCAATGCTTCAAACTTTTTTCATTAGTATTATATCTGTTATGGTGACCTGTGATCACTGATCTTTGATGTTACTATTATAGTTGTTTTGGGATGTCACAAACCATGCCCATATAAGATGGTGAACTTAAACAATAAATGTTATGTGGGTTCTGATTGCTCTACCAATTGCCAGTCCCACCTCTCTCTTTCCCTCTGTTAGGGCCCCCCTCTTCCCTGAGACACAAGAATATTGAAATCAGGCCAATTAATAACCCAACAATGGCTTGTAAGTGTTCAAGTGAAAGGAAGAGTCAGAACTCTGTCACTTTAAATCAAAAACTGGAAATGATTAAGCTTAATGAGGAAGGCATGTTGAAAGTCCAGATAAGCCAAACTCTAAGCCACCACACTGATC